AAACGCAGCGTATCCCTTAAGTCGAACTCAGGCTTCTTGCACGGCCAGGTGCACGGCCGTGCAATCTTCAGGGCCTGCCCGTGCATCTCCTCGGCATGAGGCGCACGGCCAGCTTGCAACCGTGCACGGCCGTGCAGCCTCCCTGGTCTGCCCGTGCAGCTCCCCAAAAACCTCGCCATTCGTCCGTTCTTCGTCCAATCGACCCCAGACTCGCTCCTAAGCCTTCATTCACGTACTAGGACCTGAAATATCACAAACAAGCACAACCTAGCGTGAAATCGGCCTAAAACACGAGAATCAACACCTCAAACGGTGTAAGAACGGGGGTAAAAACATGTGTAAATGACGGTCTATCAACTACACTTTCACCCACCTAAGCTGCTTACCCTTAAAGTTCTCATAGCGGCAGCAGAAACATTAGGTATCACTGCAAGCACGCGGCACAATTCAATAGACAACACATGAATCTGAGTAACATAAGATTAAGAGTTTGCCAGTTTGGTGAACCATGTTTATCAGCATAAACATACATTCAACCATTCTAAGTATTATGTATCATCACAAACGAACAAAAAAGGCATTGTATTATGTTCCATAACAACTCAATAGAGGAATGTATTTAGTCAAAATTTCCCATTAACAAATGCAAACTGACAAAGAGGAACCTAGATTAAGGAGTCTAACAGTCGAGGGATTTCAATTATAAAACTATAGGTTAGATAGAATCATCAACCTCAAGGGAAAAGTCATTGTTGTATTAAGCCCCAAATCTTCTGAAACATACCAAAATGAGAGAAACAAATCACAAACTATGAAGCCCTGAAAATCTATCTGACATCCAATTACTTTATGGGGTTAAATTTGGTTTGTTTCATAAATATGTTATATTATTCATGGAATTGATGGATTCCTGTTGGTTGGTGTAATTAAGGAAACATAATCATCTCACAACAACCATCCCTTTTACTGGTTCTTCCTTTGGCTCTCCACTCTTTCACCTGTAAAGTAAAATTAGTGTTCACCTAGAATCATGGAGTTTTAATGTTTTTCATAAACAGCCCATTTGAATTTTTTTTGGCATGCTGCGTTCTCGCAAAAAAAAAAAAAAATGAAATAGCCATATAAAGCTTGAAGTAGCAGCATAAAACCAAAATGAAAAATATAGTGACCAAAGTGATTATTAACACCAAACAAAAAACGAACAAAAGCAAGACATTACCAGAAACTCATTTTAATCTATCATACCGCAACACCATAGCAAACTGGCACCTAAGACATTAGCAAATAAATTATGTAATCCACCGGATTAGAATGAAAACGCAAACCATAAACCCAAACGCAATTGATGAGACTCAAATTACAGCAAACAACCAAAAAGAATGGAACAATTGTAGCAGGATAAAAAGGCAGAGTGGAATGACCTCATCAAATAGAGGTCAAGGTCTCCGCATCAAATTGGTCAAGGCAGCTCTCAGCGAACAGAAGCCACCGGTAGCTGCTCTTTCGCCAGTTTCAAGAGATTGAGTGTTCAAGAATAACGAAAATACATAAGCAAACTCAGTCTACTGTTTCTACTCTATACTCATTATTCACACAGAGTTCGAAAACAATATATAGTGGAAGATGTACTTATTTAGCCTAATCTATCTTCCAAACTGCTTTATTGTCTTTTTTACTGCAGAAGGTTCTTTAGCGGTTCACCTTCACCATGAAAATGATACGGGTGCACTTATCGACAGCCTGCAACCCCATAGAAAACCAGCATTATCCCTTGAACCTTTTGTCCTATCGATCCCTCTCCTTCCAACCTCCAAGGAACAACTTTGAGTCTTTGAACTGCGTCATGAAAAGGATACTGTTGCTTGTACGTACGCGTTGACCTGTGAACTCACAATGGTAATCATAGACCAATTAACCAAGAGAGAAGCTTAGAGAGTGAGTCCATTATTTGGACAAACCTCATTTTAAAATGTGTATCTTTAATCCAACAACTCTAATCAATTAGTTCTCTTTTCTTTACCTGTGATTCTCGTCCATGACCAAAGAGCTCAAAGAAGGCAGCTCAAGCCTCAAAGGATACAAAACTACTAATGCTGCTCCAAAGAGAATAATAAAATGTAATGCGTGTTCATTTTTCTTACCACTCTTTGAAGAATAGGCTATAAGGATGAGCAAAAGCAGAATAAGTAAAGGCTCTAAAATGGGTTATTTGTTCTCCAACTTTAATTGTCAGATAGAACTCAAATCTGATATAGATCTTGAAATTGTCATTGAAAAGACAAACAAAAAGAATCACCATTTTCATCAGCTATGATCTTCGATTTCCTCCTTTCATCAAGATGCAACACAGCAAGAATCTGTTAGCATATTTAAAAAAAACATGATGAATAAATACGGCATAAACGATTTTAGTTAGGTACTCATCTTCCCAATGATCAGGAAACCATAAGCCAAATTCCCATCTTGAGGCTGCTTTGAAACAGTCATAGTTCTGAGTTCTGACAGCTATCTCACCGTGGGAGGCCTCATCTACAACAAAACTTACCAGAAATTAGTTGCCAACAATCACGATAAGCCCTGGTGATTTTGCATGGAATCTAAAACTCCTTCATCACAACACGAATCTCCATTGCTGGTCCAATGGGTTCATCACCCACCACTACTAACAACTTCCTAAAAAGAGGCTAAATAATGTCATATGTGGAGGAAAATAGAGATAACCCAAAGAAACTTAGCTAACAGCAGAGTAAACTGGCAAGAATAAAAGAATGGAAATCTACAAACTCAATCACAAAATAATTGGAGGGACCACTGCTTATAGGGCTTATGGTTCCTTTTCTATTTGTTTGATTTGGGTGCGTCGCCTCCACCATGAATCTCCAACGAAAATCTGTGTTGTTTGAACCTGAAGCACCCATTCTCCCCCTAAATGATATATGGGACAAAGAAGAGGAAGACCGTGAGATACTCTCTGTGAAGTAAACAAAAAAAAAAAAATCGAGATGACATACTTAAGGAATTCCTCGAGCCTAATTCGGATCCACAACTTCATATTCTCTATTTCCTTGGAAAGATCCATCTTCTTCATCCACAATCAGCAAGCCTTACAGCCACAAAGAGAGTCCTTCCCCAGGAGAATACTTGGTATGCATCACCTGATCGCTACTGTCAGATCCCCGTGGAATCCAATGAATCAGAATGAAAACTTAAATCAAAACCTAAGTAAACAGAGAGATAAACACATGTGTTTCTAACTTTCTATAGTTCAAAACTTTTCTCACCATCGAAGAGAGGAATTTGACAATCCGCCAATCACCATGGGACGAACACCTTTATGGTGTCTCTTCTCTCCTCTTCTTCCTTATTACTTCCAATGCCACATTGCCCACTTCTTCTTCCCCTAAACCGCAGCGCCACCATTCTCAATCTTCCGCTTACCCCGATTCCACCGCCGCTGGACAAAAGTAACTTCAACTCTGTCCTTGTCTCCCTCCTCGACTCCCACTACACCGAGCTCGGCGAACTTGTCGAGAAAGCACTCCCCACGCTCTAGAGTAATCTGTCGGCAACCACACATAACCACCCCACACAATGGAGCCCTCGAGCGTCGCCTCGACTCCGAGTTCAAGCGCTTCCTCCTAAAGCCTCGCAACCTCCACTCCCTCCGCAGAACAACCTTCGTTGGCAGTGACGGAAGATGATTTCAGCCGCAAAAAAAGTAGTGGGAACCGACGGTTTCTTATCTCTCCTGTCACGCGGGGATTTCTAATTTAATCCGAGAAATTATTGTATACACCCGGCTTACCACGTCACTTCAATTACGTGGTACTCCAAGCCAATAAAGAACAGACATGTTGATAGACTTTTACCTTGTATTGCCGTTTAGCATTTTTGGCTTCATCTCTTTCTTTTTTCGACGCCTTAATAACTGTTTAATTACTTAACCTGATTAATTACTTCAAGCCAATACAAAATTAGTCTATTTAATTATTTGCCAACAGAAAACACAGTTCCATTATGAGCATCCTCCTCCCACTCTGTTTCTCCCTAGAACTTCAACCATGGAACCAGGGAAAGAGAAACCCGTTCTCCGCAAGAACCAAGAGAGAACAATTGAATTAGCTCCTGTTTATCAGGATTTTGGGATTTTCATCTCTCTAACAATAAACTACAGATGCAATTTTAGCAAATATGCTCTGCTTCAATCCAGTGAATACTAAAATTAGTGGCAGCCGCCCCTTAATCATCTGAGAATAAAGCTCAATTGAAAGACTCGGTCTAATGGCGGGGCTTCAGAGTTAAAAATGACTATTATGTAATAGTTAGTAAATATTTTGTATATTTAATTTACGTATATATGATTGTACATATTGTATATGTTTAAAACTTTCGCGTCAGTATTATAATCAAACCATTTTATTTTTTTTCCATTTATTTGATGACTTGCGTACTAAATACGTATAAAATCGATATAACACGTTTAATATCCGTATTTGATGAATTAAATTGCTAGCTTAACTATTATTTATATACTAATTTATTTCTTAAATATTAATTATATATTTTTTTATAGCTATTGACATACTTTAAAACATACTATTAGTTTCAAAACAAAATAAAATACTCATGTATATTTTATAGGTACCTTACCCGTAACAATTTTACTAACTTCTCTCTTTGACTTTTATTATTGGTTGGGTTTCTTTCTCTGAATTTGAGATGAACTCAAAGAAGGAAACGTAAAATAGGGAAAGACTAAAAAAAGGTAAAACATAGGGACGGAGTAAATATATGTCAACGTGTCTGTTTTATATTGGCTTGGAGTACCACGTAATTGGAGTGACGTGGTACGCCGAGTGCATACAATAATTTCTCATTTAATCACGTGTAACTGCCATGTCAGACTTCTAAAATCACTCTATGCGCAGGAAAATTTGAATGAGGGTTGCAGTTTTACTTTTCAGCTATAAATTATACCGTTGATTCTTTTCTTATGAATTAAAAAAATATTTTTCGATAAAAGTTGCTTTGTTATTTGCAAATCTCATTTCATTACTAATTGATTATTTACCGTATATTTGCATTTCATCATGCCATCTCATCCGTCATGAATGGGATTATGATGATCACGATTCGTAAATACGTGGATCAGATTCGTTGATTCGTGGATTGGATTAAAATAGATCCGTGGATTGGATTCGTGAAATTTTGTCTACTTTTTGTAATGGTACGATTTGGATGGCCTGAAGAATTATAGGCGTGTAGCAGGAGAAATAATAAAGTCCGGAAGGCGGCATCAGATCCTCTCCTTTCGCCCTGACTCTGTAATTTTCTTCGCCTCTAACCAGCAGAGCAGATAAAAGCGGCACCAGATTCAGTTTTTCCTCTCTCCACCTTTTCCCGTCTAGCTTTGCCAGTCACTCCATTCACCCAACCCTCGGAGAAACGTTTGATCTATTTGACGATAATTGTAGAATCATTATCGCCTCCAAGGGTTTTGATGATATCTATCTCTTTTTATTTCTTCATTTACTCAATACCCAATTTCAGACTCTAGTACTAGGACTCGCCATGCCGGTTTCACTTCTTGTAGAGTAGCTCTTCATGGGTTTTCCTGTTTTTTTTTGGGTTATTACGGCTTTCTTGGGATCTTTAAAGAAATACCCATTTCACTTCTAGACTCGCCATGGTAGTGATGAGTTTTTTTTTTTTCTCTAATGGTGGTTAGTTATGTCGTTGTTCAGGTCTCCTGGATATGGGACTTCAGAGAAACCCAGCAAAGGTAAACTAATGGCGCCTACTCCTATGCTTGCTTTCTTTATGGAAATCACAGAGTAGATGGACGAGAGGTTGAATGCCTGAGTGTCAGTTCCCCCCTTCGATTGGCTTGATTGGTCGGGTTTTTCCTTGATTTGGTGAAGTGGGTTTCTCTTTTTTTTAGTTGATTAAAGAGCATCTATGTGCTCTGCTTGTTGAATTTAGTAGGTATTACTGCTGGGTTTCTTGTTTCTGGTGAAGTGGGTTGATCTTGTGTGAGTACTTGTGAATGTGATAATTGTAGATAGATGGGTAAAGAATGTTGACTACTACAAGTTCGTTAAGCAAACCAGGACTTGCAACTTTGACTTGTAGTCAACTTTCCCCAATGTTGGAGAAACCAACAACTTTTCTTGTGTTTAATGTAATGGTTGTCCAAGTGGTAACTAATTCTGCTTTGTGTTTTTTTCTGCCAACAGTTAGCTGATTCAAACGGTAACTAATGGCTACTTTGATGTCAAGTCAACAAAGAAATGTGAGGAGCAACGATGATGGTGGTAGTTCTGCAGATGAGGATGATTTAGCAACGGTATCGACGTAAGCGGCAAAGAACTTCTAAGGCATGGGAGCCATTTAATTATATCCATGGGAACCAATTTCCAGACAACATACCAAGAGCACAATGCAAAAACTGTCTCATGCTTTATGTGGCAAATAAAGATATTTCTAATCTCACTCGTCATAACCATAATTGTGTTGGACGTGCAACTGAAGTGCGGTGTTGGCTATTGAAAACTCAAAAGCAATAGATCAAAATAAAGTTAAGGAACTAATGGCTATGGCTATCATAAAGCATGGATATGAATTTGCAGTTGTTGAGCATGGTGGACTTCAGAATGTGATGGTCTACTTGAATGATGGTTTTAAGTCATTTACTCATAACACTGCTAAGTCTTATTGTTTGAAGATTTATAAGAGGGAAAAGGAAAAGTTGAAAAATATATTGAGCGAGGTTCCTGGTAGGCTTTGTTAGACTTGCAATTTGTGGACTTCTTGTGCTACAAAAGGATATCTATGTCTCATGGTTCATTATGTGGATTCTGAATGGAGGTTAAATACTAAGATCTTGAACTTCTGTCACATTGTCCCTCCACATAGTGCAGTAGCTTCGTTTCATGTTGTGTATGATCTGTTGAAGGAGTGGCAAATTGAAAAGAAAATTTTCTCAATAACATTGGATAATGCTAGATGCAACAATGTTATGTAAAGTTTGTTGATCGATCAATTGAAAGAAGATGATGGTTTGGTATGTGATGGGAATTATTTTCATGTCCGTTGTGGTGCCCATATTCTAAATTTGATTGTGCATGAAGGGTTAAAACAGATTCGTGCTTCGATAAATGTAATTTGGGAGGGAGTGAAATATGTCAAGGGATATGAATCTCGAATGATTGTCTTTGAAGATTGTGCCAAAAGAAGCAATTGTTTAAGCTCGAAAGGATTGTGGTTAGATTGTCCGACTAGGTGGAATTCGACACACATGATGCTTGAAAGGGATGATGTTACACCCCGATCTTGCCAAAAGTCAAAATGATTATAGCCTTGGGTAAATTTGTCAAATTCCATCATAATATCGATGGGGACTAAAAATGCGAACTCTCGATTCAAACGGTGTCGAATTTTGACATAAATCGAATAAGTTATGGACGTTAGTTGAGTTTCAGATTAAACTCACCCGTAATTTATGAAATGTCCAAATACCCCTTGAACTAATTAAAACTCAAGCTAACCCTAAATCTCGTTCCTCACCCACGTAAATCCTCCTCCCATTATTTATTCCCCACGAAGAATCCCCAACCCTAAGCTACCAGCTATCCCTCTCGGCTTCTCTCCAGGCACAAGAAGAGCCACCACAAAATTTTTATTGCTCCTCCAACAAAGCCAGCAGCCTAGCGGCGATGACCTGGGAGTAGTCAATTTACCGCAGCTTCCTACGTCGTCTACTGTCAAACTACTCGTCCAATCGAGAAGATGCTTCTGGCGCTGTGGGCATCTCCGCTGTTGAAAGACTTGGTAGCTTGGCGTTAACTTAATTTAGGGCGTAAGACTGAATTGACGATGGAGGAATTTACTTGGAACATTTTGGAAGAATTTGAGACGCTGGGAATAAATTGAGGGACCGGAATTATTGGTAAGGGGCAAGCCAGTAGCTCTAATTGGTTTGCTTTTAATGGGACGAGGCAGCTAACTCTTCTTGCCTTTCTTAGTTTGCTGATGCAGCTGTGAAAATTATGCGTCCTAGCTAGAGGTGGTGATTAATCCCATAGATGTATGATAAATGGGATGGTAATGTCAGGTAGAGAGTTTGGTATGGGATATTGATACAAGAGCTTGGGGTGAATGGAATTAAATGGACCAAGTCCATTGTCCTCTTTTGATTGGGGTTAGCAGTGCACGCATGGAAGCTTGCCAACAAGAAAAGGGCAAGAAAATCCTTCTTATTGAAGATTGAGGTTCATCGACTGATTACTGAGGTGAGTGTAAAGGGGGTAAATTCTACGCCTTACAAATTCTCTTAAGTATCTTAGCGAGGTGGTTACCGTTGCTTGATTATGTGTATGGTTGATTATATGTGCTTTGTTTGAGCTATTATTTGAAGTGAATGTGTGTTATTTACCTTATGCTTTACTTTAATTATGAGTGATTGGTAAAGTTAAGAAACAAGTCCTTTTTAAGAAGTACTTCACCTTCTAAGAATGTGAAGTCGTTTTAAGTATTTTTAGTCACTAGCGCCAGTCCGTTGCAATTTGAGATTTTCAGATAGAGCAGCAGTTATGCTCTTGAGATATTTAAGTTGAGCAGTAGTTATGCTCTTGAGATTTTTAAGATGAGTAGCAGTTATGCTCTTGAGAATCGTGGAAGAAGAGCCTTCTACGATAAGTTTAAGTTTAAAGAAAGCCTTGATGGCTTCTCATACGTATGAGTTGGCAACCGGACTAGCTAGTGAGGGATCCCCGTGTTGGTCAAATATTTAAGTCAAGACTTGAGCTTTAAGAGAGGAGAGTAACTTCAACTCCCTCAAAGTTTAAGAGTTAAGATTTTAAGATTGGAAGTATAAACAACTTCCACCAGTTAAAGTTAAGTGTTTAAGCAAAGTACTCAAGTATAAGAAACTTTAAGCGTAAGGGCATAGACTGACCCCATCTCACTCACCAGGCCTAAGTAAATGAATGACCGAGAACCAGATCGATAGCAGCTAGCTAGGGGAGCAGTGAGAGAGCATCGAGATCGAGAGAGCCGCTCGAGGCAAGCCAGCTAGAGGAGGATAGTACAAGCGTCACTGAAGGTGCTAGAGATCTAATTTGAGAAAGCACCAAAGTAGGGTTTTAGTTATTGCTTTACGATAATGATTAGTTACTGGAGATTCATATTCAGATTTTAAAGTTTGAGTTTGCCCAAATGTTAGGGCTTCGGGTTTAAGTAATGATAGTCATTTTCAGTGGTTAGTAAAATTATTTATGATAAGTATCTGCTATTTTTCTAAGTATTTTTAGTTCTGATTTTATTTCACGGTTTATCAAGGGTATTTTAGTAAAACTAGTACCCGGCCGGGTTAGGGTGTTTCAGATGAGCTCTATCGTAGGGTGTTTCAGATGAGCTCTATCGTCGTGCTTTTCAACATTTGAAGTTGGTTGATAGAAACTTTGATCGATTTTTGTCGGATGTCGAATGGGAAAAGATCAAGAAACTTAAGAATATTTTGAAACCATTTGATGACATCACAAACTTGTATTTCTGCAATGTATGGAGGATTCAAATGCGGATGATGAGGCATCTAGAAGTATGGATAGTGATATTTTCGATATGGCTTTAGCAATGAAGGAAAAATTTGATAAGTATTGGGACTCCTACAGTACTATTCTCGCTATAGCAGTGGTCTTTGATCTACGATACAAATTGAATTCTGTGAAGTTTTGTTATGAGAAGTTGTATGGGGATATAGATGTTGCTAAAGCAAAGTGTTGCGAGCTCCGAGGAAATATATGTGACCTACTCAAGGTTTATGGTGATCCCAGCGATCAATCTCCATCACTTGCTGAGCATATTGCTAAAGATGTGGACTATGGAGATGATATGGATGTAAGTAAATATGCTACTTAATTTTTCTCTCTTAATTCCTTTTTATTTACTAATATGAGCTAGTTGGTTTATAGGGATTCGATTCATTTGGGGGAAATCAGTTGTTAGGCGATAGAACACAATTAGATGAATATATGGATGATAAGACACTCAAGCGCAAACAACCATTGGTTGTTCTTCTTTGGTGGAAGAATAATGAATCTCGATAACCCTGAGCTTGCTCACTTAACAAAAGATGTTTTGAGCATTCCTATCACAACCATAGCGTTAGAGTCGGCTTTCATTATGGTGGTAGGGTTCTAAACAGTTGGCAGAGCTCTTTGATGCCCGAAAATGCCGAAGCTTTGATAACCACTCGCAGCTGGGTATACGGATTTCCAAGTAAGGATTCATTTTCTGTGGTCCGGAATGGGGGTTTCTTTCTTTGGTTGGTTTCCTTGTTTCTTTAGCTGCAATTCAATTGTGTCTCTGAGACTGAGGAACACGTGGGATTGAGGATGTTGGTTGGGTTAATGAGTTGAGGTAATTAATTATGACTGTCAAAGGTTATTCACTATGCTAATGTTCACAGAGGAGAATTGAGTTGAGGGGTGTCTTTGTTGTTCCTGTTTTCTACTTGGTATTTGACTAGAGCCGAATTTTTTAAACTCTAGCAGGGTGCAGTATAGAGCAAGTATTTCAATTGTGAACCCGGGCCGGTCCATGTATCCCTACTTCAATCGCTTAAGTTGTTATCTAGGAGAACGGTTTTGGGTTTTCAAACTAAGAAAACTACAAACTAAACAAGCAAAGAAAATAAAATAAAGGAAAACTCTAACTAAGGGAGCTTCACCCAGGAGTTGCTTCCCCCTAACTAGCTACCATGACTCTTTGGATTGAATGGAGGCGTGTGGCGTAGGTGGTTGTGAACCTCGGGGGTGAGCAACTAGTGGTCGATTTGTCACGGAATCAATTCACTAGCGATAGATTTTTCACGGATTTGATCCACTCACCAAGTCTAGGGGTACGACTAGGAGGAGAAGCTAGTGATCCATTTGTCATGGGATGGATTCACTAGAGATAGATTTGTCACGGGATCGATCCTCTCACTCAGTCTCTAGTGGTTTCATAGGTCTCTCCCTCAAACCGGAGTTTGAACGGCTGAATCACAACCAACCTAGATGCAAACTTGAGTCAAGGAGGATACTCATATCTAACCTAGATAGTAGGCACAAAGTGCCCAGGAAAACCAAACTTCTCAAGCCTACCTAAAAAGGTGTGGTTTTCCTCTAGGCAAGCACACAAGATTTGGAAAGCACAATCACCATGAAAACACCTCTAATACTCAAATTGATGCAAATCCATACAAAATCATTCAATCTAAACAAGTAATTACAAAGTATTAGTTAGGGATCTACAACACTCAAAAGATAAGAGTGAGTTTCTAGAGAGAGAGGGATTACATATTTGAGCTCAAGATCTTATTCTTCTTCTAGGCTTGAATCCTTGTCTTCAAGATCCACCCAAGCCTCCAATGATGCTCCAAGATCACTTTAGAACTCTCTCTCTCTCTCTCTCTCTCTCTCACTAGAACTCCCTTTTGGTGTTTTTGGGCAAACCCTAGAGAGGGAATTGAATTTCTGTCCAAAAACCAGCTCCCTTTTCTCTTTCCCCGCTGCTGTCTTCATATTTGTCCGAAAGTGACAAGTTCACGGACGCGTTGGCCAGTTCATGGTCGTGAACACCTAAACGCGTCCGTGAACTCAGTGTCGTGCAAAACGCACCGCTTCACTCTCCTTGGTTCACGATCAGTGGCCCTAGTTCACTGTCTTAGAGACCGTGAACTCCCTTGGCGGTAACCTCTGAAACCTCGTTGGACTGCTCGATGTTCACGGTTTGTGGTCCATGTTCACGGTCTTAGGAGACCGTGAACTGCCTTGTCCGACCGTGAACTGCGGCTGTTTCCTGGATGCCTTCACTTCACTGTTACAGGGGCAATTGTCCTTCAGACTTTTCTTCCGTTTTTGCGCTTTTGACCTCCAATTTTCCCAAAACTCGTCCTCGACCCTTCCACACATGCTAGGACCTGAAATGTATCAAAACAAGCACAACCTAGCGTGAAATATGTTGAGGAACGATGAAATACTAAGCTAAAAGAATATGAAATGAGGGGTAAAATGTGTACATTTGGGCCCGAATCACTCCCCCACACTTAGACGTTTGCTTGTCCCCAAACAAACCATTCTCAACCTAGGTAATATTTCAACATACAAATATAGCTAGGCGACATTTCAAAAGGCACAAGGCTGTGAATCTCAAATGACTATTTGGGCATCGACACTCGAACCGTCTCAATCAATTCCGGCATCCACCACTAATGACATTCAATTGCATCAAAAATGGGCAAATGAAAAGTTCTCATTCTATCCACAATCAATGCAAGTCTCAACCGGGCCACTAATCAATCACAACCGACCATGCATAGAACTCAAGTCAACGGAACAGACAACAGGGCAACACAGGTCCTCCCCGAGATAGATATGAACATGCAAGAACAAGAATGAATCGCGCACTCTCGACCAGTGGGGTCAGGACCTTTTTGGTGCAAAAGATGTTCACAATTATCACCACTCATCCCTACCATCTCACCACCACGGCGGAAACCTCTAAACGCTAGAGTTCACGGGATAGTTGTCATCACTAGCTCGTCCGGAGGTCTTAGACGCGAGTTCAGATGACTGGCAATTGTCTTGGACATGGGGAAAAGGCTTTTTGGGTGGTGGAAAATACAACATGAGGTTCTACATCTTCAACCTAAGCCCAAAGGTTCTATGGTTTCGACTAAGAACCTTCTTTACAAACAAAGGCCACTAGCATTGGCCAAAAGCCTTACTTCTCCCTTCCAAACTATCACCCATCACGAACTACATTTAAGCCCTCTTCCTCGGTCTTCTCTTTCTATCACCTTTCGATTTGGTAGTGAAAGAGTTCTAAAACAATGTGGGGGGGGGGGGGGTCTCATTGGCTTGAATGCCAAGAAACCCCTCCTAGAGCATACACTTTGATTTTTCGTGGTACTCTCTACTTTATTTACCCCATTTTATTACATCTTTTTCGTTTCTATTTTATTTTATTTTCTTTTTGAGGGGGGTACTTGACACGCTTCTACCGTCACTCTAGAAAATGGCCAAGTGTAAACACCTACTAGAGCGTAGTACAGCGGGTTTGGGTTTTAATGTCAACCCGGGTCCTAAGTGTGATGACTACTCCGTGAATTCTTATTATTTAGCAGTGAAAGTGTAGTGAAGGTCCAAACAAGCAAACAAGAAAATCAGTAAAAGGTTATTTTCAAGTTGAGAGAGGTCACCCGGATATGCACTACAAAAAAGACAGTCTTTTTTGACGCAAAGTTTCGCGTCGGAAATGGCATGTTTTCGTCGGAAATGGTCTTTTCTGACGCTATTTGGTCGTCAGTAAATGTCCCGTCAGAAATACTTTTTTTCTGACGCGGCGTCAGAAAAAGGTTTTTACTGACGACGCGTCAGAAAAGGTTTTTACTGACGACATGTTGCCGTCGCAATTAAAAAAAATACCGTCAGTACAAAAGATTGAACTTGACGAAAAAAGTGGACGAACTTATTTCTGACGACGTGTGGTCGTCGAAAATAAAATTTGTGCGTCAGAAATTGTATTGTCTGTTATTGACAAGTTCGCGCATCTATTTTCCGACCAAACTCTGTCGTCGGAAATAGTATGTTTTTTCCAACGAGTCATTACCGACGGACTGCCTTCGTCAGAAAAAAAGGCAATCTCCTCCCGCGGCGTGGCCATAATGTATTTGTTACGACCGATCTTTGGCGTTGGAAATAGTGTATTTCTGACGACCCGTCGGAAAAATGAATCATTACTGATGGCGAGGAGACATCGGAAAAAAGTATTAAGTCGTTAGAAATGACGACTGCGTTTTGTTTTGACGACGGATGATATTAGTTCTGACGACATATGGTCGATGGAAATAGATTATTTCCAATAAATAATATTTATTTATTATTTATTTATAATTTATAATTTATCATTTATTTATTAATTATTTATCATTTATTTATTAATTATTTTGATAATAACTACATCCAAATCCCGATGTCAAAATAAATGCACATTAAGGATTAAATTAAACCTTGTCCTAAACATCCATTAACACAACTAATCATAAACATCCATTGTTGTCCAAAATTCTCAAAAAAGCGATTTGCAATCGCAAACTACCGAACATACCATGCTAAACTTGAAATTGTCTTAAAAAAAACTGGAAATTGTCTAGAATTCTGAAATTGTCTTAACAAACCAAACAGAAGCAACAAAACACAACATGATAAGGTCCAGCCTAAGAAGAGGTTCCATCGTCATCATCGTCGTCAACATCATCGTGAACATCGTCCTCAGCATCGTCCTCAGGAGGATGGTTCTGCGGGGTTTCCTGGACTCGTTCAGATCCCCCATCGGCTTCGGTGGTGAAGTCCTGCATAAAATGTGATATAAGTAAAAAATTTAAACCAACTTGAGAGAGGAGGAGAAAGGAAACAATGTAATAGTACACTGACCGGAACGGAGGAATCGGTCCGAGGGAATCCGTACTTGCGCAGGGCTGCTTCGACGAGTTGAGGAACCGAGTTTCTGACCTCTAATAGGTCCTCTTCCAGCCTTCGTATCTTCTCATCGCTTTGTTCCATTGCTTTCCTTTGGTCATCCTTGCAGCGTTTGCTGCACCCTTGACTAGACGACGGGCCGAACACCTCCTCAGGACTCACCCCATAGCCCATCCTTAGAACACGCTTGCGACGTTGCGGGCCAATTTCCTTCTGATATATTTCGAAAGTATTGGGCTCTTCCCCTTGAGAAAGCTTTAAAGCCACTGCCTCTTTCATATTGCCCTAACAAACAAGCAAAGCAGCAAGAACATTAAGGAGCAGATGCAAAGAGGTAAAATGATGTTCCAAACACGAGCAACAGCAACTATCTAAGACTAGCAGCAGAGGTAGGTAAAATTCAGAGGTTGCAGAGGTAGAAGCAGCAGCAGTAACTATCTAATACTAGCAGCAGTAACTATCTAATACTAGCAGCAGCAACTAACAACTAAAAGCAGCTGCAACTAAGAACTAAGCATTAAGCAACATCAGAATTCTTGACATGGAACTAAGAGCTGGAAGTCCACTTACATGCATTTTTTTGCTTTTGGGCTAACCCACTCTTGATCCTTCTTGACATGGA